AGTTTCATTTAACTGAAGTACAGTATGTATGTATTTATCACAAATGACCAGGCTACTGTCCAAAGTATACAATAGTATTGATAATATATTTCTTTGATAGTTGGTTTGTTGTGATAATTATGTTATTGTTTTATTTATATAATTGATAATTGATTTGTTTATTAATAGTATAATTGATTTATTTGTTAGTAATGTGATTTTGTTTTGATAGTTATTGTCAAAAAAAAGTTTGTTTATATTAATCAGTATATGGTATTTTGATAGTATAGTTTTGTTTAAATCATTAGTAATGTTTAATTGGTTGGTTTTGAGATATTGATCAATTAATAGAAATAAACTAATTGTGGTTTTTTTGTAAAAATTTTTTTGAAAAAAAGTTTTGTGATTTTTGTAGTATAGCAAGTTATGCTAAGTAATAGTAAAAAGTAAGCAATGAATATATTGCTGATTCTCCAAGTCAACAATATAAACATTTTTAATATATGGTTTGGTTTTTTGGTTTGCAAAGAAGATTTCCAAAAAAAGAATATAATTATTTAATAAAAAATATATATTTGTAAGAAATGAAAATAGAAAAAATCCCAAGAAAGATTTATAAAGAAGTAACTGTTATAGACCTTTCTTTATACAATCCAAAGAAAAAGAAAGAGCCCTGAACTTGCTTTTTTTTGGCTAGAGATTCTATCCTAATGTATCAGTATACTTTTTAATTTCCTTGAGATTTTTGTGGTGAGTATAAAAGATATGTAAAGGATTTTGGAAAGTTAAAAGGTGAGAAAAGTATTTGTTTTTTTTTATTTTGAAAGATAATTATCAAAAAAGAAAATTTTTAAGAAAAAAATTGTATATGGGAAAAAGTTTTTTTTTAATATATTAAAAGAATTATAAGAATCTAAACAGTAATATTTATATAAAGAAAAATATTAGCAATAAATATTTTGCTGTTTAATTATACAATAGGAATTTTTTTTGCTGATATAATTTCAAGTATATAACAAAAAATAGCAAAACATAATTTTTTATAATTAAATGATAACAAATATAAAACAGGATTTCAATTTTTTACAATAGCAAAAAAATTAAATTAAACTATTTTTTAGATCTTTATAAAGCATATACAACTTAAAAATATAACAAATTTGTTTATACCAATATTAAATTTTTTGATTATACAATTATATTAATTTGTATCAATTTGTTTAAAAGATATATAACTTTCCAATAATCTAGAATTTATATACCAAAAAGAAAATTTTAATAAGAACAATTTTTATATAACTAAATAGAAAATAATAATAATAATAATAAATATTTTTATTTACAAATAGGGAGTTATAGTATAAACCAGGGTATGGACTTACCTACTTGGTGAAAGTTGGTATTCTGGTAAAAAGGAGCAGATAGCTTGAGTTAATATTAGCAATATGTTAATAGACTATTTACACATAGACAATTGTAATCTTAAGTGATCTCACAATAAAGTACATGCATATATCGCAACTTGGCCCCTTAAAAAAATAATAATAATAATAATAATAAATATTTTTAAAAAACTCTTTCCTGTACATAACATTTTTCTTAAAAATTTCCTTTTATAGTAACTTTTTAAAAATTAAAGAAAAAAATATCCCTTTTGCTTTCCAATACCTACAAGTCCTTTATATCTTTCTAGTCTTCACTACAAAAGCCTCAAGGAAACCAAAAAAATATACTGGTGCATTGATATAGGACCTCTGGTCAAGAAGAAGCAAGTTTGGGGACCTTGCTCTCTTCTTGAATTGCATAAGAAAAGACTTGTGGCAGTTATTTCTTTATAGATTTTTCTTGGGGCTTTTTCTATTTTTACTTCTTATTAAAACACTTCTTATCAATATACAAATACTTTTAAATACTTCTTTTCTTTTGCCAGAGGATCTTCTTTTAACACAAAACTCAAAACTTTATATCAAAACTGTATATATTGTTGGCTCGGAGAACTAGCAATATATACAAAACATAACTTTCAATATCATTTAATACACTATACTGCATCACAAAAAATCTAAAAATCTTTTTCAAAAAACTTTTTATCAAAAAACCGTAATCAGCTTACTCCTGATAACTGATCAACACTTTAGTTCCAACCAATCATATCTCACAAAATATCAAAACACATCTATCACATTTACCAAAGATCAACATAAACAATTTCAAAAATGGAAATCCATATAACCACATGATCTTTTACTATTAATAAACACTAAAACAATAATCACGTCCTATCAAATGTTACTCAAAAATTAACAACAACATATTACCATTATAAAACAACAATTAACAAGTCCAAACGATTATCAAAAAACCTGTTCAATATTTTTGCTACTTTTAAACAACAGCCTGGAAATGGCTTATATCAACAGTAGCCTGGGAGTGGCTCATATCAATCAACTTACACATTATTCAATCAACCATCACGCAAATAATAACCAAATTACTTCTAATATTACTACTAATCAACTACTACCACCACATATCACTAGCTATCAAGAATCTATGTCATCAACACTATTATATATATTTGGAGAGTAGCCTGGCCATTCAGAAAATATATCAACATATGCTTCATAGGAGTGGAACTACTAGAGTAGCATGTCCAATGGATCTCCTTTATTTTATAATTGGTTTTTTTTACATTTATACTTGTCTAGCATATTTTTTTTTTCATTTCACTTCTGTTTTATTCTCTATTCATTATATCCTATCAAAATTTTTTGAGTAAGTAAGCATAGCCGCTACCCTTAGTTATATTTAGCATACAATATTGTTTTAAAATTTCTTTTCGATATTAGCTAGGTATAGATAGTATAGGCAAGCTAGCATTAAACTTGCTACTATTGCATGTAAGAAATATTGTTTCTTTTACAATGTATACTTTTTAAATATACAAATTAAATAAAAAAATGATGTTTACCTACCAGAAAAAAAAAAATAATAATAAATATTTTTAAAAATAACAATAATTATTTTAAAAATCATACATATACTTAGCCATTTAAAAAAAAAACCAATAATTATTTAAAAAATATTTTTTTTGCTAACTAAAATATAAGTTATATAATATAACTGTTTTATCAACAAAAGAATTAACATGTAATTTATCTTAAAACTTGATAAAAAAAACTATAACTGCAATAAAAAATAAAGAAAATATAATAAAAAAGAAGTTTATATAAAATACTAATATAATTAGTTGTAGTATGATTTATTTGTATTGTAAGTACTTGAAAATTTGATAAAAAAAATTAGAAAAAAAATAATAATTAAATTTTATTAGATAGAACAAATTATATTGATAAATATTTTAATTTGAAAAAAAATAATTATAATTGGTAATAAATTTTTAGATTTTATTATATAATAAATTAATTAATATTATTTAAGTTTATTTTATTTTTAACAATATAATATAATGGCTTAAAAAATTAATATATACTATATATATATATTTAAAAAAAATTAAATTAAACAACTTTTAGCTACAATAATTAAAATTTAAAATTTAAAATAAAATAATTTAATAAATATATAAATTAATTCAATTTGGTTTAGTTTATAAAAAATTAAAACTGATAGTTTTTGAATTAAATTGGTTTACAAAAAATTAAAACCAATTGGTTTCCAAATTAAATTAATTTAAAAAAAATAAAGCAGATTAGTTTTTTTAGTTTTATTTAAAATTAATTTGAATTAAACTGTTATAATTTCTAACTGAAATATTAATATTTATAAAATAATATAAAATAAAATAGATAAAATAAATAAAAAAAAATTTAAACAACAATTGAAATAATACTTTCTTTATTAACAAAATAGCTTTTTGGCTTTTTTATAATATTATTAAATAATAATATAAGAGTTGAAGATTTTTTTATTAAATTTTAAAAAATTAATTGAAAATCTATACTTGAAATAAATTTAGCAAAAAAGATAAAGTAAAACTTGATTGTTTTAAGGAAATAATAATAGAAGTCTATATAAATATATTAAAAAATAATTTACTGGTTATAAAAAAAATATTTAATAAAAAATAATAGTTTTTGCAAAACAATAATTCAAGTATACATGTGGTATAAATTATTTGCTATTGACTTAATTCCTAAAATTTTCAAAAATAATTGTATCATGACTTAATTATTTATATGTTTTAATAGTAACTCAATTAATTGTATCAAATAATTGCATTGATTGCATCAATTGCATCAAGGATCTACAAATTTTAGCAATATATATAACTTCAAGTATATAAATTATTTTATAAAATTATTTCTCAAATAAAATATTAAAGTTTATAAGCTATTCAATAGTTTGGATATTAATTTTATTAAAAATTTGTAAAGTATTATGAAATAAAAGTTGAAAAAAAAAAAGTTGAAAAATTTTGATAATTTAATACAATTTATAATAGAAAAATAAAGTTTTATTTTAAAATTATCTTAAAAATTTAGTTAATTCAATATATATCAAATATAAATTTATAAAATAAAATAACAGTAAATAAATAAACTATTAAAAATTTATAATAAATAAAAATACCAATTCTCATTTTTAAAATAATATATTTTTTATTAAAATCAAGTTAATAGTTGTAAAGTTATTATTAATAATATAATTTATAAGTCATATTGTATCTTTTTATATACAAATCAAATAAAAAATGATATTTATCTATGGAAAAAAAAAATCAAAACTCAAAACTCTTTGTAGAAAAAAAAGAAAAAGATATAAATGCTACTAGTTATACTATTAATTATACACATGTACTGTATATACTTCTAGATAATACAATATTTTAAAATCTTATTAGAATTTTATTTAATTGGTAATTATTTCCAACTTTATACTTGATCTTCATAATTCCGGCCATATTAATCGACATTATATATATATAACATCCGAATATTTACGTACGCTACTGCGTTCGACTCGTTGACTTTGCCAATATCCAACGTACATTTGGGAAAATGAATTCAGTTCAGACAATATTTTTTGGAATACGTGAATATCTCAGCCCCGTGCTCAAGAATTCAAAATTTAAAGAAACCGGTTGCATTACACCTGAAGAGGTTCGATCATATAAGCTTTATTTTTTTTAGTTCATTTTTCACGAAGAATATTTATTTATTCGGCTAAGACGAGGTTTCCAACAAAGTACGACTTTTGATAAAATTCTCGATTCACAGTAATATTGAGTATTTTAAGTTTTGGTGTAATAATCTAGTTTATAGCCGCCGGTGACTTTTTAGTTTATAAATGCCCAACCTGGAATTGGTATTTGGATTATAATAATCACTATGGTAATTTTGTAAATTTAATGTGCGTTGCCTATCATCTTAATATGATTTTTTTTGGATTTGTATAAAACGAAGGGAAAGCGGAGAGCCAAGCAAAAGACGCGACTACTTGGCCGCTGAAAAACAATTCCTTATCACAAGAAATGGTAGATATGATTTGAGAGAATTTATATTATATGTTTAATATGTAAGGAGTGATCTAATACATTTAAAAATGATGCCGTATTGTTCAACTAGTGCCTTGCTTGAGACGAGTTAAACAAATGGAATATATTGATGAAGATGCAGAAACTCAAATTGAAACAGAAGATGGAGAGGAAGCCTGGGTGGCGACTCATAGTGGTCGCGGTAAGATTTTCTATTACTATTCTGATTTAGTGAACGCCATGAAAATTGAACTGATCTTCCTTTCGTCATTTTAAAAGCTGCGACGAACATTGAGGAAATTGCACAGCCAATTGAAGGAGACGAAGATGAAGTTAACAAGAGAATAAGCAAAATTGTACTGGAGGACATAAATGACAAAGAGGACGTTGATATTCCAGACATGGATGATATTCCAGACATTGAAGAAGTTGAGGATGAAGTGGTTGAAGAAGACGATCCGGTATTCGTCGTATATTAAATTCGCGTTAGGTTCTATTATGCAATAACTTTATAGTAATCACCGATTTTTAGGCGGCGTTGGGCAACGGGACTTCTTTAGACGATGGCCCCAGGTATGTTTAATTTGGACTGGCAACCTATAATTTTGAAAATTCTTATATCGCGATTAAAGATCTGTCATTTTAAAACTTAAGTGACAAAATTCTTCAAGTTCGGACATATGATGTTTTTATCACGTATGACAAATATTATCAAACTCCTCGCATGTGGCTTTTTGGTTATGACGAGGTAATATCTCGCTATTCCTTGCGATTTATAAATTATCTATTTTTTATTTACTCGTTGTTAATCAACTAGCATCGTCGACCGTTGACATCAACACAAATTTTTGAAGACGTTTCTCAAGATTATGCAAAAAAGACAGTAACAATCGAAACTCATCCACATTTAAACATGTCTTTAGCGAGCATTCATCCTTGTCGTCACGCTCAGGTCATGAAAAAGATCATTGAAAAGATGAATGAAGAAAGTGTTAAAAAGTTTGAGTTGCTACAGCAACAATCAGCAAATGCACCACAATTAGAACAAGCACAAGTGAGAGTTGACCAGTAAGTAATAGCATGCCTAGCACGTTCTATACTAGAAACGGTTGGTTTAATTAATTTTATTATTTCAGATATCTCATTATATTCTTAAAATTCATGTCATCTGTGGTGCCAACTATTGATTATGATCACACTATCAGTGCCTGAGGAAGATTTCTGAGAAGTTCCATCGACTACGTTCATTTGTTTTATTCTCCAGAGATCCTTTTTTTTTTTTTTTTGTAGGTGTTAGATACATATTTATTTATATCTTTAATGTACTTTTATAAGATATTCTTAATACTAAATGATTGAGTAGATGAAGCGCACGTTGATAACTTACATATAATATGTTTTAACACATGATCAATGCAAGTTATTATTATAAAAGGTAAATACAAAAAATTTCTTTTTTCTTGGAGACAAATGAATGAATTAATGGGTGTATGAGATATATCGGATAAATATGATCTTAAGTAAAACAAATGTTTGATTTGAATGTGTGTTATACGTAATTTAGATTAATAAATAAAGTGAATTATATAATATATTCGAATCGGTTATGTATGTACTTTATGTACTTTTTCAATACGCTTCAACCAATTTAATTTTCCCGTTATTTCACCTTTCATTTTTGCTACTTGCTCGGAATATTCGTTAGTCTTTTGACTAGAAGATTGTACATCTCTCTTCATGGCTTCAATTTCATTCAATAATTTTGCAGCACATTTTTCTTGGTTCTCTCGTAACTTAGAATGTGTTGACTCTAAATTGCTTAATTCATCATTGCGCTCTGTTGTCAATTCTTCTATGCGAACACTGGTCATCAAAACTACATCTTCTAATTGCCGTGAAGTTGAACTCATTTCCTCACGAAGAGTTTTAAATTCTTTTTTGACAACTTCGACATCTTTTGTATATCGAGTTTTAAAATTTTGCATTTCTTTGGACAAGAGTGTGTATTCATACTCCGACTTCTCCTTGGCTGCTAAAGCCTCTTGTAATTTTCGTTCCAGATCAGATACTTTTAGCTCTGATTGACGAAGTTTTGTTTTAGCGTTATCACGCTCAAACTTCATGTCTAAATTCTTTTTCTCAATATCTTTCGATGATTCTTCTAATTCCTTGGTTTGTCTCTCTTTCCTTTCGAGCATTCGCTTCAAAGAATCAATTTCAAGCCTTAAGGTCTGGTGTGATCCCAAGTGTTCTTGTACTTGTCTTTCGGATCTTTCACGGGCCACCTTGGAAATATGAATCTGGGTTTTTGATTCTGCAAGTTCTTTTTTCAAATAATCTATTTCCGCCTGTAATTTCTCAATAACCCTTCCGGTAGTAGATTCGCTCTGCGTTATACCGTTCTGTGGATGTTTACCAAGCTGCTCCTGTACTGTGATGAGTATGGCATCCTTTTCTGCAATATCGTTCTGAAGATTGTAAACCTGTTGCTTCAGAACTTTAATCTTCCCCGAGTCATCTGCAAAGTGTGATTATTAATAAGGAAACTGTTAACAGACCGTATATAAAAGAACATAACAAGAACATAACACGCCACTCTTGCAATTCTAGAACTATAGGGCTAAAATACTTACCAAGTTCGCCGTTGTTCATCTGTCCTGATGCATCAACTGTCAAAGATAGATCAGTTAAAAGAGTGGAAGCCTGCGATTAAATAGTTTAAACGAGAAAATAATGTAACAATGAAAGGAATAGAGGAATCGCACGTCTATTGATGATGGTAAATCCTCAGGAAAATAATACTTAAGAAAGGAATGTTTTGTTCGATACTTTAGAAAAGGGAATTGATTTGTGATTTATTGCACTCCCTTTCTGGGAAATGTTAATTAAGTGACAAACACTTGGGTTATGTTTAATAGATGTCACGTAAATTAAGCCTGGCGGGATAATTGCGGGGTAGTCGTGAATATAATCTTTCTCTTTATTGGTTAAAATAAATGTAAATCATTTATTAATATACTGTATATAAATAATAGTACTTGCTTTGAAATATCTATTTTAAGTTTAATTAATTCTTCAAATTCGTTTATCAAATGTGTAGCTGTGAATATTTATTTAGCTTTGTAATATTAGATTATAATTGATTTGAATAAAAATATATGATACTTGTAATTAAAAATAATAAGTTTATAAAAAACTTTGCTTTGTAACTTGTTAAAGATAATAAAAGTTGTAATAGAAAAAATAAAATAAATTTTTAAATTAAAATATTAAATATATAATTTTATTTTTATTTATTTATTTATTTATTTTATTTTTTATTTTATATATACTGTATATTTTTTAAGGTGAAATGTGATATCTGTAGGGTTTTTATTGATAAGTGCCTTACAATTGCAATATTAGAACTCATATAAGTCAATATATTATATACTCTATATAGATTATTCCTTATACTTTATCTTATATCTAGTATTCAAAAATCTATCATTTTTGATAATTTTCTACATAACATCAAATAGAAATCTATAGGATGTAAAAATCCTATCACTAGTTTAAACTATCTAATCTATATATCCAGCTTTGCTTAAAGATATCTTAATTAAGGAAATTAGTTCAAGTGCTTCTTTATCTTATTATTTAGACCTCAAATTATATCTTTATTGACTTATGGCTTCTTTTGCAAAACTGCAATTCTTCTTATTACCTGTGACTGGTTATTTTTCAAATCAATTAGGCTTTGTACTGAATTGAAATATTATAAGCTAGGGTTCTAACCACTATTAAAAGAAGAGAATTGAAATTTAATTAGAATGGAGTACAATCCAGTTTATATATTTAAATACAAAAGAAGTCTTGATTAAGGAAATTGAGTATATGTCTTTTTATTTATCATGTTATTCAATTATTATAAATATACTTCTGGCAATCATTGTAACACCACCTGAATAATTGTCATGCTATGACATTTTTTCTGAAAATTATAATCTCAATACCTATTGAATTAGCATATGAAATAATTTCATATAAAAAACAATATATAATAAATTATAGTATCAGATATCATATAAGTTTTATTTAATTGCTTTTACTTGGGATTGAAATAATATCTTGTATTCTAACTTGTGAATTATTATATTAATCACTACACTATAGATCTACAGATCATTTTTATTTATTTATTTTTTTTATAAACAAATTATATATTTTATTAATTATTTATAAAAATATAATAATAGAAATAATATATATATATATATAATAAAATTTAATATAGCAGATATTCGATATAGTAAAAATATATAAAAATCTTAATATAATAAAATAAACTCAAAAACAATAACAATAAAATAATCTTAATATAATGGATTTCATAATAAAATTTAAAAAAATTTCACTATAATGAAATTTTCAAATTTTTTTACTAATTGCTCTAATATTACATTATATCGAATTTCACTGTATATATATTTTTTAAATATTAAATAAAATTTTTCTCAAATTTTTATTAATTAAAAAAAATAAAAATTATAAGTTTTATTTATTTATTTTTTTTTTTTAATCCTTGCCGTCAACTCAGGTATTTCTTATCACCTTTTTTGCCAGTTTCCTGATGTTTTTTCAGGGTACAGGAGTAATGGGTTGGGTCTAACTACTTATCTTAGGCCTAAGCCTCTAAGTATAGATGGTAGGGTGGAAAGTTGTTATTTCAAGGCAAGCAGACCTTTGCTATTATGCCAGGATAATCATTGCTTGCAGCCACCACTACAGTATTTCAACTATTCAGTTTAGCCAAGACTTATCAGGATTTAGTTTGTGAGATATTATTGGCAGGATAAGAGTACACCAATATATCAAATTCATCTGGGAATCGGACCCAGCCTCACCCTTCCTAATCTAACCTAGTAACACATGTGAGGGGTTACGTTTTATGGGGTCATGCAGTCAAATATCGCAATTGTACCCCTTAGAATAGAACATTTTGTGATACAAGCAACCTCCTGCACCTTGACTGGATCTTCGCTACCATTGGACATGTGAAACTTTTACTAATAGTTGTGCAACTAATGGTTTTAGCTGTCTGTATCTTTTCTTCCATTACTGGAAAGATCCCATGAAACTTCTTCCCCCTTTTGGAGATATTTCCTGGGCAATACTTGATTAGAAAGTTTACTAATCAGATCATCTATCTTTTGACCTATGGAATGTAGTCTACCTATAAGGCTTCTTGATCATCAGAACAACTTAAATTGCTCTCTATTACAAGTTACAAAAGCAGTGACACAAAGTTCCATTAGGATATGTGAATTGTCCCCAGCTGGGGTTGAACCATGATTCATAGGTTAGTTCTATCCTGCCTTAGCCTACTGGACTATAACTGGGTAGATCTAAAAATTATAAGTTTTATATAAAATTAAATTTTTAAAATAAGATATATAATCAAAAAAACTCTTACTTATTTATTACTAATTTTTAAAAAGTGTTTTTTTTTTCTTATTTTTTTAAGACAAAAAAGCTTTAAACCCAATAATATAAAGACTTTAAAGAATATTGTTACATTGAAATAAAATTTCTGATTAAGATTTAAGTAAGTTAAAAGTCTTCCTTAATTTTTGATTATATAAGAAAAGATCTATATTAGCTTTTTTTTATAATTTTTGTCATTAGATACCTTTTTCTTATATAGTTATAATTATATATATGTTCATATTTAATTCAAACATTTTTCAAAAATCATATTATATTAATATTGTTAAAGGTAAAAATAGTAATACAAAAAGATAGATAAATAAGAAAAAGATAATTAGATCTATTTGATATA